TGGTATTTAACAGAATCCTCAAAATAAAATTATAAGAAAAATTTCCATAAATTCATTTAGATATATTAATATTAAATTCGAATTATATTCTAAATAATAGATTTATTCAATATATATTCAAAATATACGAAAATTCTATAATTAAAGAAATAATTATCTCTTCATTTTATTCATCGTCATAAACTTATATCTTTTCAATATATAGAGCGAAATAAAATAATCATAAATAAAGGCATTAATCAAAATAGCGATATAAATATTTTATAGATTATTTTTAGATTCTTATCTTTTTTGGAATCTTTTAGTCATAATCTATAGTCATATATATATATATAACTTTTTTATGTGCAATACCGCTAAGGAAAAGCAAGATCTTTAAAAAACAATAATAGAGATAATACAAATCTCAATTTAATCGATTTCTTTAACGCATAGAACTAGAAAAAACACATCTATTTTAAGGCAAGTTTTGCTTTCAAATAAGACTAAATGACCTTTCTAATCACTTTAATATGCTCAAGCAAATTACAGCCCCCCCTTTAGATTTCTATATCGGAACCTAGAACATATAAGAATACATATACGAGAAACCAAACGCACATTAAATATTTCAGAGAAAGAAAAAACAAACAATTTTTGAAGTCAAGACGCCTGGAGGCTTGAGAAAAAACTACAGAGAGAAAAATGGAAAGACGACATGAATTCGGGGACACGAAATGAATCCAACCTTTCTTGCGAACCCCGCTATCCCCCACGTTTGCCGCAAGTCCCCCTCTAGTCGACTCTATACTCGGAGGCCCACCGGTGGCTTTGCTCGGGGCATATAATTCTAGGATAGATTCTTGGCGGGCCTCCATGCATGAGGAATACATACACTAAAATCGTACATATTTGGCTATCCAGTAATTCGCTGCTCCCTCTGGGCATATCCGAATAAGGCACTCTGCAGAAGAATCGAATATCAAGTTTTCCTCTAAACCAAACCACAATTTTTTACATCCCGTAACCAAAACCCGACTTTGCTTCATATTGTTAAACCCAACCACACTTTCTTGCATACTCTGTTTCATACCTCCAAATCCAACCGCACTTTATACCTTCTAATGTAGAGTTCCTCTAAAAATTAAGTACTAAGGGGCGAGGGCCCTATGCAAACGACGGTGGTGTTACCACACTAATGGTATCATTATATCAAATTATTTCTTACTGAATGCTAGGATGAACATCAATCGATTCTGAATTCTAAGTCGCATTCTTCGTGCCCGCAAATTCGGGTCGTTTCCCTTCCAATGGCAGAGCTATCCTTCTGATACAACCAAAGTTCGGAGAAGTTTCGAAACACCAGAAGTTTCTCTGAAAGAGGCTATGGTTGAATCAACAATTTCGAACCGATTGTGGAGGAAGCGTCAGGAGCATCATTTTTGTTTCTCGGGATCCAGGACGTACGAGATTCTGATCCGGTCAGGAGCAACCTAAGATGCTTCTATGAACATAATCCAGGCGACACTTCCTCACCAAGTGAACCCCCTACAAGTAACTTTCCAATAGCCCGGTGGTATCAACGGAAGATGCGGATCAGAGATCAAAATATGTAGGAACAATGGTTCAGGATGCAACATAACATTATTGAAGGTCGACAGAACCCGAAACTCAGACAATCGCAGTGCGGCAAGAAACATGACATATGTGTCTTCACGAGAACACACACCATACAGCCTGTGCCCAAAGTCGACCTGCAACAAATGCGGGTTGTCACCAAGAAATCCTGCTTGGAATAAATCATGGCAGAACTGCACTTTTAAACCTTCATGCGCGTGAAGCTCTGGCAAAGATCGCTGCCAATCCTTGGACTCTGGATGATCATGCGTGAATTGCCAAGTCTTCCAGCCTGCTCTTGTTTCTTCATTCATCTTGTGCTGACCCAAGGCTGCCACCAGCACCCAGAAGCGCTCCGACAGCGTCTGCCAAGACGGTTGCCTCGTGAAGATGCTGCTGAAAGTTCTCCCAGAGTGTGTAGCAAAGCTTGGCATTCCAGCCTCTGGAGCTGCAGGGGGATCCTGCTCTCAGAGATGGGGGTTTCTTAAGATCCAGCGTTCCAATTTTGTCCTTAGACTAAGGATCCTGGAACGTTGATGTATATGTTCTTCGCAAATGTCTGAAACCTTCAGATCCCTTCTTGGACGATCCGCCCCTAAGCCCTAAACCCTAAAACCCCAAGTGATCCCGCTCCTCCTCGGCAGTGATCTCCAAATCAATCCGCCAGGACACGATGTCTTGGGCCGGTGGCCGGAAGTTACTCCGAGCTGCATCCTGGAGCTCTTCGGGGTTATCTTTCTGAAAAACCCTAAACCCCTAAACCCCAAACCCCTAAACCCTAAACCCCAAGACCCCTAAACCCCAAAACCCTAAACTCCGAAACTCTAACGGGTCTTGCTCGGATTTCGGACCTCCGAGGCTAGGTGTCGACGGGGTTTCCCATACTCTTCAGGGTGTTGAGGCCCCTGGTAGGGTTTCGAGCCAGCAATCTGCGTTGAGCAGCTTGCTCCCTTTTCGGGGTGTTCGCGATCCTTGCCGCTTGGTCGGAATCCTTGTTGCAGAAATGCCGGGAAAGCATCTCGGAAAGCAGTGCGTGAGGAAAAACACGTCATTGCACAAGCTGAAGCTAAAAGGGGGCGATGCAGACACATGGACAGGAAAATTGGCGAACACGCCTCAGAGACCGAACAAAGAGGGTTCCGACATTGTGATGGTTCAGAAGCCTCAAAACCAAACGGGTGCTACGTCGAGTGGTAGGCAAGAAGCATTCTGTCAGGAGCTACCCGGCTCATTTGAGGGCGTGGTCTTGCCCACGTAGTTCTCTAAATTCGGGTCCTTTTTAAGTCCCCAATATAGTACGGCACCCTCAATAAAAGGCCCCTAAAAGGGACCCTAATTTAGGGAACTACCTTAAATGTTGACTTCCTTGAAGAGGCATGGGGTCAGCCAGTCACAGCCCTCATGTGCACATCCTCAGGTCGGCTGCCTCCAAGAAGAGCAAGAAGCAATGACCCACGCACAAATCTGAATTGCAACAACCGGGCCGTCTTCGATTCGCTGCGTCTGTAACGCTTATGAAAACCCTTCAATGCCTTAAAACTGCATTAAGCCTTAAACTTAAACGGTCTCTGAGATCATGCAGTTCATTTCTCCAGATCTCGCCTCAACGGCAAGGCACGCGGCCAGCGCAATGGACCGCTGGATTCCTCTTGCAAGGCAAGCGCCAGTACAGTTCCTTGCCCTCGCTGCATGTTTCTTCCCAGCCTGAGCCTTGAGCAACCTCGGTCTCAGAAACCACTTCTCAGCTAGCAGACACCTGCATGCGCATTTGTAGCGGCACTACTACGATTATGATTATTACTACTGCTATTGTTATGCGAATTTCCGTCTGGGGCCTTGGCTTCTTTTGCTTCGGCCCTGAAATATGCGGCTCACTTCGATTCAAAACAGCAGGCCAGTGTTACGCTGCCTGTAAACAGCAAGGTCATGAAGGTAAGCTCGTGCAAGCGAGAGGTCGGCAACCTTAGCAAAGGCAGGTGCCAATGCAAATGCCTCGCAAACCATGCCAACAAAGCTCTCTCAATAGAGTCTGGTCGTGAGTCAACCGATGAAGTTCATGGAACAGCAAGCAAAAGGCTGAAGCATTCAGTCATCTCTTTCTCCACTCCATTCTGCAGGTCTTTGGCAAGAGGAGCACCACAGTACTCGCTCACTAAACTTGTTTGTCGATCGTCCTGATGAAGAAGTTTCCATGCCAGGACGAGACACGGCCATACCTCTCCAAGATTGCAATACATAAACAAAAGTGGTCTGCCATCTTTAGAGAAAAGGACTTTTTTGGCAAAGCAGGACCTGGGCTTGAGCTGATACCTGCCAGGGTATTTGTCGTAATCCCAGATGGCTTCCATTGCGCCCGGATTGTCGCCAGCGTGGGTCCAGTAGGCATTCCCACCCTCCGTGACCAAAAGGTGAGTGCCCCATGGGTGGATCTTGATGAGCTCCTTGATGTCATCCCCAGGCGGGCCTAAACGGGTCGATTCAAGTGGAGCCACGGCATGTGCATCCTCCGGCAGGCTTCGACCCAAAATCCTAATCCTAAGCCCATCCTAAGCCCTAAACCCTAAACCCGGGTTCATGACAATGACTGTGCCTTTCACCAGCTCCCATCCTCGCGGCAAGGTCTTGGAGCGAGTCACCGAGATGTCGGACTTTGTCCTTGCAGGAAGGTATGACTCAAGCTTCCAGATGCTTTCAGACGGGTTTCGGTTTAGGCTCCACAGGGTAGGTTGAAATTGAGCGGATGCTATGACAAGGCTTCTGCACACCTCGCAACATTCAGACAGGAAATGACAGCTGACAGCGGCATTGGCACGCCAAGACTCTGATAGTCGTACTGCGCAGGTGCCTCTGTAGACCAGGGTGCATTCTGCACTGCCGGTGTGAAATCGATTGTAGCATAGAGGTAGCCCCCGCGTTCGATGGAGGCTGCCTGCACAGCTGGGGTATGGGGGGACAAGCTTCACGCACAGGCTACCAAACCCTTGAAAAGCAAGGATACATGATTACATAGTGGCTAAGCTTTGCTGTTCAACCAAGAGCTTACGGCTTTGCCAGGAGACTTGACTACACAGTGACAGTGGCCCTGGGCTGCGGAGCCCTTTTCCGGCCTTTTGGGCCTCCGTTATGGAAGGTGGCGCATTCGCTGCATCCATGCGGGTCTTCGGCGGAGGGATGCGATACTCCTGGAAGCACAAGTAGATGCGGTGGCAGTGTCCGATTGAAAAGACACCTAGCAGCCTGCCCTCTGTGCTGCAGAAACCCTGTCCTGGGCCTGCGCCCGTCGCTTCTCTTTGCTCCTGTAGCAAGCCAGCTTGGACAAGTTTGTGTTCCGGCTGGCTACAAAGCAATGTTTAAATCGGCTTTCTATTGGAAGCCATCCGTTTTGTTGCAAAAGCCCTGACTCTTGCCTGGCGAACTGCATTGGCTAGCAAATGCCTTCGAAACCTGGCATCTCCCACCAACCAGCACGTTAGAATCATTAGAAACGCCTGCTTGCAGTGCGTCGGCGTGGACTTCTGGAGCTCGAGGCAGCGCGCCTAACGAGGCTAATTTTGCCCAAGGATGTGCTGCCATGATCTGCCGGGCGTCTCGCAACACTGAACTGGCGGTACTGAAGCAACGCAAAACCGAGCAAGGAGTGCAGGCGGCCAAAATCTGACAATGCCTTGTTTAGCAGGGCATCGAACTGTTTGCAAACATACTAATTAATGCATTATTGTGGGCCTCCCTGCAGATTCCACAACGAATGCTCTTGCCGTTGCGGTCTGAACTTCTGTAGAAATCGATGTCAGAGCGTTGGGCTTCGAGTGTGAAGTCTTCATGTTCGTTTCGGCGAGGTCTGGTGGGTCTGGTGGATGGAAGATCTCAGGGGCAAGTTGTGTGTGGTATCGGTGGGGTTCTGTTGCGGCAAACGGCAACCGAGCTTGCTTTGCAGCGATTCGCCCTTTGTTTCTGTCAAGCATTTGTGCTTAGCATTCGGACCCACGCCAAATTGCAAACTCAGGGCTGTACATAATCACAATTCTGCGGCTCAACTCTTGAGCCCCAACTTACTCCCACGAGGTCCCTGACATGTTTTGGATTTAGCACTCCGGGTTTTCGTCTGTGGGCAGCGTCTTCTCAGATTCTTAACTTCGTGTAAATGGGAACTTGAGACCTCACCTCAAAACAAGGTGTTTCAAATATGGCATGCAGCAACAACTTCGCAAAACCTATGTAGACTGTGGGCAGAAGGATCTTTGGCAAAAAGCTGGCATTCTCGAAACTTCTGTTCTCGGGGCATTGAAGATGTCAGCCGCGGAAATTGACCGTGTCCGTTGGGGTATGATTGTCGGCGGGGGCTTTGTGCCGCAACCAAATTAAGCTTCAGGAGTGCGCCTTTGATTTCCCTTCCCTTGTAATTGCTAACGACAAATTCTTCAGAACTATTTGGTTGTCGGGGCGTCTAGCTCTGCGTCTCGGATTTGGGCTTGGGTGCTCTTGTGGTTTGTTTGAAGTTTAGGGTTCTGGTTTTTGAAGATAATTTTGAGCATGCGATTGTTCGGCCTCAGGGTTTGGGTTTGCCAAAAAGATGTTTTGGTGGTTCGGAACTGTTCAGGGTTCAATTTGTGCAGCAGGAACAGCTGTTTCAGCACAAATCGAGATCGATTGTTGTGGATATGGCAGGTGGTCGGTGCCAGCGGCCCGGAGAGGGAAAGCGCTGGCAGGCCATGACCCGCTTCCATGGCACGGATTCGATGTGACGTCCCACTTCGTGGTATAGCTTGCGAAGCTACTGTTGTCATGTGTATGATGTGCAACAGGATACGTGCAGGCGGCGGAAAGCAGGGTCCGGGAATGGATCGCTTTTCGGCATGCTCGGAAGAGGGCTGTCTAAGAAAACGCGCGATACGGACCGGCAGACTTGGGAGATGCAGTGTAGATAACAAGCGCCGGGCAGACTATACTTTTCTCATCTTCAGACTTGTATTCCTGCGCAGTCCGCCAAGCTTTGGGTGATTCAGGCACGCGGAACGTCCGGCAGCCAGAAGTGATCACAAACGCAGGTGGAAGGCGAATGTTTGCCTCGTGCAGCAAAGGGGAGGGAGAATCAGCTCGTTCCAAGCCGTCGCAGCTGGAGTGCCGGTCCTTTCTGGAGGACCAGCTGCGTCCACAGCATCCGCAGGACGCGGCGGGGACATTGCGCCGGTGATGGGAAAGCCCAATTGCTGCGAACACTTGGGACAGAAGTTGCTGCCGTGTCACATCCGTGTCACCGTGGGAAAACAACAACAGCAACGAGCGCCAGAATCTAGAAAGAGTCAAGACCCAGTGCAATCAGCCACACGAACCTTTTCCTTCGCTCTGCAAGATCTGGACTTTTTCGAACCCGGGTCTTGCAACGGCAGCCGAACTCCCAGAGAACACCCACGGCGTGCACAGCACGCGGTAACGTCAACAAGCCGAAACCGCGGTGGGCACGTTGCACTTGGACTTGCAGCGATAACATGAGGCATGTCACAAGCACACGAAAGGTGCAATCATGCGGTTCCCGGTGGTGCAAAGGGGCATCTGGCACTGGCAGAACTTGCGGCGGTGCGACGGAGCCTGCAGCCGTTCATTTGGCACGCGATGCCCACTACAATGGAAAGAGTACGAGAGAGCCATGGCCGCCAAAAGCCATTCGGGCCATGCGAGTTGCAGAGAGGGTGTGTTGCTCGGCCCATGTCGGGGCCAGTCCTGTTACAACCACCGATGTGGGACACAGAGTCAAGCAAAGTAACAACAGCGAACACTGGGCATCCTGATCGCTGCCACGGCAGTAGCCCTTGAGCCAGCCACCGATGCTAGTTGTCGGCTCGCGTTGCCAGATTCGCGACTCACTGCTTCAGCCATCCTGCCATCCTGATTCCCCCTAGGGCAGTGCATTGCGTCCTGCACACCGGAAGAGCGACGACCAAAAGAAAAGCCACCTGGTTTTGTGAGTTGAGGCTCAAGGCTTTGCGGTCTTTCGGGTTTGTGGCTGCTCGAGCTTTCGGGTTTAGCATCTCGGTTGGGCTTTTTGGTGCAGGGCTTGGGGTTTAGGCCGGAGGTTGCCTCGAGATTGTACGTTCGGGTTTCTTCTTTGGGCGCTTGGCCGTTCCAGGTTCACGAATGCCGTGCTGTTGTTTTTTTTAATGGTTGTGGCTCGGGGTTGTGTAGGGTAAGAGGTCTCGGGGTTGCTCGGTGTTTAAAGTCAGGCTACGGCGTGGCTTTTGCTCTGGATTCGCAGTGGTTTTAGCTTTGGGTTTTGGGCTTGTTGAGGGCTATATGGGTTTGCTGAAGGCTTTCGTCCGGGGATTACCTCAGATTTCAGGCTTTCGAACCGTTTAGCGCTTTGCATGTTTGGGGCTTGACGGTCCGGTACGTGTGGTCCTTTCTTTGCTAAGACTCATGCGTATTTATGGTTTGGGGTTGCTTGGGCTTACGGCTTGGGGCTGTTTGGGGTTGAAGCTGCTTGAACGGATTCTATATTTTTTGGGCCAGTTTAGGTTTGTGGGCAAGGGTTGTTTCAATTTGGCCTTTCGGGGTAAGGCCTTGAGGTTGCTTGGAGCGTTTGGTTTGGGCAGGCTCAGGGTTCTTTCAGCTGAAGCTCGGGGCTTGAGAGCGTCATGTTCGGAGTTTACATTTGTCGTGAGGTGTGTCGCAAACCGGCAATGACAGGAGCTGAGTGGATTCGTCTTGGGCAGTCTTGGTGACGGAGGAGCTGTGGCCTCACCAGGTGTCGGCTCTCCAAGTGTTCAGAACGGTTTTTGCCCCGGGTATATTCGCACGAAGCGCCAGGCTGGGGTGCCAGTAAACTTGCAGAATCAGGTTTCCCACCCACCGGCTAACTTCCAACGCCAATACCGCCTCCTGGGGCTAAGGGTTACCAACACGGGATGTGAAAGCAACACATGGGCAAGAATCATGTAGCGGAAGCATGACAAAAGCAAGCGGTAGGAGCTAGAGCAGAACCTGAATTCAAAAGGAATACTTCAGAAGCCAGAATAAGTGAAGAGCAAAAATGCAGAACCACCGCTGACACCGGAGCAAGCAAAGCAGGTCACAGCAGGGTTCTCTTCATCCAGGAAGGCTTTGGTGTGTAGATCTGGTGCCGCACTGATTGACGTTTGTTTGTATGTCCGGCGCTACGCAGAGACTTACCTTGCATTCCACAGAAATGTTTCCGCTGGCTCTGCCTCGGACGCGACCGCGATCTGCGACTTCTGTGGCGGCTGTGGCGGTCGCGGCTGTCCCTTGCAGAAGCTCACAGAAAGACGGCTCCGACGCCCGGTGCCTTGGGCCTTCGGGCTCGGCCACGACTCCTCGAGCTCCTCATCTCTGAATCGCTCGGATGTTCGTCCGGCTTGTAATTGTAGGGTTTAGGAGGTTTAGGGTTTGTCAGATGCTCTGTGAAATTCCTGCTGGGTCCCACCGAGTCCTGGCTTTTCACTAGAAATCACCCGCGAGCCACGAAAGCTGCTTGCTTCTACTTCCGCACGATTAGATGACCTGACTCCTGTCTTGTGTGGAACAGCTACTTGCCCGGGGAGAAATCACAACTTCTCTTGGAATCCTAGGCGAGGCATATGTAGGCGTCTGCTGCGTGTCTTTTTTGTTCACTCTGGGCTTTTTCTCAAGGCTCGAAGAGGCCTTGAGCCGAAATTCCATTTAGGCATGCGGTCATCAATAGACATTCTCGCTCCCCATGGGTGATCCCATTCGGCACCGCACCAGAACAGGTGCCATCAGCCAAGAGATGGGGACCGGAACACCTGAAACAGTTTAGGACCCAATCTTTTCACAACTGGCAAGCTTGGCACTTACCGCTCGCCTCGCCACGCAGCCCACCGGCCATGTCGCAGGGCACAAAAGGTTCCGAGTGTCACGACTGCAGCAGAGCTCGAGGAGATGGATCCTTGCAGCTGACATGGTATGTATTGATGCACAGCACATTGTCCTTCCTCACTCCAGAACTTAGAACATTCACGAGCTGTTCTGCAGCTATGTTTGTTGCATGGAAGAAAGAATGGTGCACATATGCCAAGCTCTTTGTCGAGTTGTGCCTTCCCCCATTGCGATCGACAACATCTGTCTGCGTCTCTTGCATCCGATCACGTCCTGGAGGATCACCGCTTGGAGCTACGAAATGTTGATGTAGATAAAGGGCGGAGACCTTGGAAGAGAGAAAACAGGAGAAGTTCGAAACCCGGACAACCTTACGTGACAAATCTGTTGCCGTGGCTCCATGCTTTCGTAGACCAAGGTCTGACGTGTGCTTTGGGCATCTTGAATTGCCGTTTTCGACCCGTGGACAGATTCGTTCGCACACTTAGCAAGCTGCTGCAAATTCTAGGCGGGAAGCGTTGCTGAAAACGGTTGACCCAAGAATCAGCTGCAGCAGAAACGTAGACCCATAGAGGCGTTCTAGCCTTGGCTTGGGATGAAGGAAGGCGGGTCTAAGGATCCCGTGTACAAAGACCCTTCATTATTTGGGAATTCCCCCACCTGTTTTCATCCCACATTTGAATCCCAGTTTGAAAACCATCCATGCAAGATTGCAGAAAAAATATTATGAAATACAGCCCGGGCGGCAGGGTCCCGCAGCAAAAGAAGAGGATGGTGTCGGCCAAGAGCCTTGCAGGCCGCTCGCCAGCTCGAAGGAGCGAAGCCGCAAAGAGGCGATGGACTTCACCCGCCTCTTTCTGTAGGGCTGCCGTAGGCCCCCTTTGACTTCCGAAAAACTTCACGAACCATTGAAAGCAAAGTCGACAAAAAATTGCGAGACCACCAGCGAAGCCCTAAACGACACCATCCTCGATTCCGGGCGGCCTGCAGCTGCGGCAAGCTGACGGAACATCCGGAAATCACCCAGCAGAAATTCTGAAGTTCTTCTTGAAGCTCTTCCAAGGATTGCGAGTGACTCACCTCTGCAGGCTTGCGTTGTCTGGTACGAATATCACGGCACTGCTCTCAGCTTACTTCTCAGACTTGTCAACACGTTCTCACTGCAACTGAAGATTTGCTCACAAACACACATAGGGCGTACTTACGGCACACAGCACCATCCACAGGTCGCACATGTTTGCTTGCGCCTTTGCCCACAAAGCAGTCGCAGCAGCTGTAAGCCCACCAGAGGCCAGCAACAGTAATATCACCGCCCACGGAGGTCGCCTCAGCTCGCAAAAACAGAATTCAGCGCGAGATGTGAAGTTGGAAGTGGCTCCCACAAGCAATATTGCGGGCTGGTAAGGGTTCGGATAATGAGATGCGTTGCAACCGGCGTTTGCTACTCCTCGCGAAGTTTTTTGCACGAGCTAGCCTAGTTAGTTTGTTACAGGTGGTCCACTGCTAAGTTATTACAGGAAAAGGCTGCTAGTTGAAGCTTGTTCGTATCACTTTCCAATAAACGGCGACAATGTGCGTCGTCCAGGATCGCCCACCTACCAAACAAGAGTGGCGCGTCTTCGAGTGTCCAGCATAGGATGGGCTCTTTCCATATGCCGAGGCATTCGGCCAGGCAACAATTCCGCGCAAGTTCGCCCTCTAAGCCCAGGCAGGCACTCACTCTCTTCGGAGCTGGATGCTGAGATTATGGTGTCATCTCAGTGGATGCGCCCAACTTCCAAGAGGTTGACTCTCGCAGGGATTCGCCGTTGCATCCACGTCAGCTGCTGCGTACTGCACAGACAGATCTGTGGTTCAAGGGTTTTTAACTCTTGGGAGGGGCGCTCTCTCTCCGTTGTCCGTGTGTGAGCGGCAACACAGCTTCAGGATGTTGCCTCTGTGCTAAACCACAGGCTCCAACCCTTCCCCGTCTTGAAAACCTCCTGGTTCGGACGGGGCCCCCGCAGTGTTCAGGGAAGTAGTAAGCGGGGTTGCACAGCTGGAGAAAACATGTCCCGAGCAAAAAAACTGGAAGTCGTCGACTTCTAGCTTCTTCACATCAGCATTGTATCGTTTGGCTCACAACCAATCTCGGCTCGCAACTGCGACTGCAAAGGGTTCTAGATTGCTTGTGAAAATTTCTGAGTGAGCAGCAGCAGAATCACCATTCTCATAGCCTCATTTTGTAACCGAGGCAGGCGCTGGCTCTCAGCAGACGCAAAGAGCTGCATCTCCGCTGCACTCTGCTGGATCTCCTCTAATTTTTGGAGTTTCGGTCTTAAGGCTTAGGGTTTCAGGGTTTGGTGTGTGTGTGTGTGCGTCTAACCACAGGCCTGGCGCTCCGGTCTTCGTTGAGCTTCCAACTGGATACCAGCCTGTCTTTCCTCCTCGGAGCTCCAGGGCACCAGTCACATGTGGCAATGCTCCACACAGCGTGGTACACTTGGAAGCTGGGACAGAAGAGGGCAATGGCACACTCTCCAAGTCATCAGAATTAGGCCGCAGAGGAATCTGACTAGATGCAACGCAAAAGAACCCATGAGTCAACCATTGCAAAGCTTCCCGACCATGGTCGCATCGAGCCGTCCGTGCAGCCACGGCTAGCACGATCCGCCAATGACCCAACCGAATTTCCTAGCTTGCCCCCACTCGCCCTTGCCTGCTTCACCGCTTCTTGCCGCCCTACTTTGTTGCCACGGCGGCGTCGATCCAACTCCTGTCACGGAACGAGGCGGCAATAACCAAGATGCGCACAACCCAGTACTCTGCGCAATAGAGCGCAGCTGTGCGGCTCGGTCCTCATCCCACCATGTCTGGTCCTGCCTGCTGCCTCGGCGATGAACGATAGTGCAACAACGAAGCACTATCTCGAGCAAGCACGCGCGCCGCCCAAGAACGTCTAACAAATGGTGTAACATGACCAATATTTACAGGGAAACGCCGTAAGCTGGGTGCTGTATTGCAGAAGTCGCCCGCACAAACAACTCTTCGGCAGCAGCTGTTGGTGCCTGCTGTGCGGCAGCAAGATGCTTCAATCCAGCGCAAAGGCTCGCAACATTCTGAGTCCAGTGCACAACTACTCTTCGGGAGGCAGAAGCCAGCATTGCTTTGCCACATCGTATTTTGACTAGCGCATGTGCTCCACTGGCAAGCATTGTGCAAGGATCCGTTGCGATGTGCGTCTCCATGTGAGAGGGTAGAAGTGGCAAAGTGCCCTTTGTTAATGCAACCTTCCGTTCGTGGTCATGGAGGGCTACGAGACCTGCTGCAACCAGCATCCAAGAAATCATCCTGTGTTCTGCGTGCGGCACCTTCATGACCAACCTGAGCGAACAAGTCCAGCTACTTTTTCCTCTGCATCGCAGGCTTCCTTTTTCAAGACAGTTTCACACAGATAAGCACGTGCGTCCAGAACTCATCCATGGTTGAAGAGGGCATGGCCGAATCCCTCGGAGGACACATTGGAGACATGATCAAAATAGCAAGAGTTGCCACACCCCAAGATCAATGGTGTCTCGCTTTAGACCATAGCCTGTTCACTCTTGGCTCCCAAGCGTTCACCGGTGTTGCATCTATGCTTATTTGCTTGTGGCTTCTGTTCTCTGCCCTTGCGTCTCTTGAGTTGGGGTTGGCCTATGAAGGTGCTCTTCTTTTTATGATTCAGGGCTTTCTGCCCCACTTCTCCTCCGTGACTTTTTGCACCAATTCCGATGAAAGTGCTTGCTTTCCAGACACACTCTATAAATCCCTACATGACCCATAGTAAGGAATATACCACAATTCCCATAGTTTAGTGTCCTTAAGGTGATGCAAGATTCATAACAGTAGGTCCGCTAGGTCTCAACATTTCTTCTCGGCTTAGGTGCACTCGACGAAAAAGGCTCCAAGGATGAAGTTCTACTGTCGCAGTTCAGGCTTCACGAGCAAAAGCCGCGAGAAGTTCTCAAGAAGCAAAGGCTCTCTTGGGTAATTCACATCTGCACTTCCCTAAACCCTAAACCCCAGACCCCTAAACCCTAAATCCTAAACCCAAAACCCTAAACCCCAAACCCTAAACCCCAAACCCTCGACCCTAAACACCCGTACAAAGTCCCTCCGTCCCGAAGCCCTCTTAAAGCCCCCAGTTTAGGGTTTAGGGTGTTGGGTTTAGGGCTTTGGGTTTAGGTTTTGGGGTTTAGGGTTTAGGTTTTTGGGCTTAGCGTTTTGGGTTTTGGGTAACCGGCTCATGGCTTAAAGTTTGAGACTCCGAGAAGCTCGTTGATGCCCGTGGAGCAGTAAATGATGCTCCCAACTCGAGACGCCCTTTCCAATGCACCTGCCAAACGTAACCAAAGTGTCTGACCTGCTATCCCCAAATTCCCGTCCTTGCACCAAACAAAGGGCCCAGTACTCGGTTGTCAATGGCAGAAGGAAGGTCACGACCAAATATCCACTTCGCGAAGTCACCATGGCCTTAGCTGGCTCGTCGCTGCTTTGCGCCTGGGCCGAGGCCTGAAACAATTTAGAGGTCAAGTGGCTCCCAGAGTAATTGCCCTCTCATATCCCTTGAGGCTTGGCTTGTACCACTTGCCAAATTGGCCCCGTTGGTGCTTGAAGTAGCGCTCGAAACCTTGTGGGCGAAGAAGGATGCGAACTCTGCCAGGAAGCAGTGAGGAGAGTGCCGGACATGCTGAGCTGTCGGCGTACTCGGATATTGAGGGACACGCAATTGAATCGTATTCCGCTTGTCGCCTTATGTTGGGCATCGATTGGCATCTGAGCGCATACACTGGCTCAAAATGCCAACCAACAGCTGAAGCAAACTTACATCTCACAGTGTTTGGAGTCAGTAACGCCTCTCTCGCTTATCCAAGTGACCATGTTTCGAAGTTCACTTGTCACGTCTCCACGATGAAGAATCGTGCACTGTTCTTCCACACCTGTGTTCTTGACGTCTTGGCCTTCCGCTTTGCACTGATGCCGCAGGAACCTAAGGCTGCCAAGATGCTGTTGAGGATCGCATTCTCCCGGCAAAGCTTGGCGAGTCCGAGGGTGTCTTCTAGAAGCACCACCTCTTCTGCACCAGCCTTTGCACACCTGATACCCCATTGTCCTGCCTGCGCCCAAGCATCCAGAACAGTACCTCATGTCAGTCAGAACACCCATGGCGTTATTACCCAGCATGATCCGAGCTTTTGATGTGACTTTGGCCCCTGGTTCAGCTTGCAGCCCAGCGTACCCGCGTACCATAGTCCTAGATTTCCCCCTGACTGCGAACCTGAAGTAGAACAAACCCTAAACCCTAAACCCGTCGTCTGTGCAAGCTGCTCGGCCTTGACTTTCATGGTTCACCGTCTACACCCGGGCATGTGCTGACCCTGCTGACGGCGACGCCCTCAGTCTACTCTTCCGTGTGACGATGTCTTATGTTATATTGTACTGCATTAGTTACCTTAGTTATCTCATCTCACCATTTTCCGAACATTGGGCTATATATGGTTTTAAATCTGTAAACGTTTTCTTCGGACCATTTTAAGGCTGGGCTCGGAGTTGACTTGAAGATGGGTACCGACACATGAGGCAGTGGCTTTTCTAGATTTCTGTGCTCTTTCGGGTTACAGAGATCCTGACTGTCCTGAACATCGGGCACGCAAACGAACAACTGAATTACTGTGCACGTCTCGTAGTCCTTAGACGGCCCATATTCCAATGCAACCCCCTAAGTCCAATTCGTGAGCTACATGAGCGGTCGACAATGGCCAGCTCAATAGCAGCCTACACGCAGAAGCAAGGCCAAGAAGCCTTGGCCGAAGCATGCCGTCAGTTCTCTCCTCATCTTTTCCAGTCCATAGTTCCAGTGGCCCACCAAAATTCCCTGTAAAACATCGATGTCGAAATACAGCTGGCTGCTGCCTTCGCCTTCTTCTACCCGCACCTCGAAGCCACGCGTGTCTGTCTTGCAAACGCCTCTCGGCAAGATCCTGAGGGTCAGACTTTTGAGCTGTCGCCTCGTGTGATGCTGGTGGTAAACTCCGAACCTTCCTGAGCCCACTTCTCCTTCTTCGCGGTCATGCGATGAACCGTCCTCAGTTTCTTCCGACCCCACAGTGCACCTGCGAACCGCGAAACACAAGATGACACCAAAAGGGTTCTGATGAAGTTAGAAATCAACTGTTGAAGCTTTCCAATCCATCGGGTGAGCTCCTCCTGAACCACCAACTCCAGCTTTGCAGATCCCACCGACTCGAAAATCACAACAGCTGACTTGCCAAAGCGGTCGACAATGACACCTTCGATCTGATGCAAACTTGATGTTTTCCTAAAGGGCTGGGAATCCGACCTGGAAGCCCGTCTTGTTCCCCGTGCACAGCACGGCAGAAGCTCACTCCACCAAGTTGATCACGTGCCGCAAAGGCTTTGCGCAAGCGAACTTGGAGCAGCTCCTCACATGGCAGCGTGGTCGCTCGTTGCGTCGCTTCGTTTCTGGGAGTCTCCTGCGTCACTTCCATGCCGGGGGACAGGCCTTCCATCCGACGGAGCACGATTGAGGCCTGCCTGTTGAGAAAAAGGGGAGATTCGAAACCACATCAGATTCTCGTGTCCTTCCTGGTCGCTAAGCTTGGAAGCCAAAACCACCCCGCCTGTTGAGCACTCCCACCCCCAACTCCGTCGCGCCATCTGAACCAATGATGTCCACCTTAGAGAAGCTCCAGACAAGCCAAAGGCTGAGATTGAGGCTGAATTGCATCGCTTCAGAGCCTGAGGTTGGTACCAATGTGCCAGCATCGATGCCGTTCAAGTCACCGATGTTGCTCACTTCATCGTCATATATCCACGGGTGACCCATGTTTAGGGCCAGCTGACGCGGCAAGGCCTCGCCACTCACATGGAGCTTATCTTCGGAAAGTCTTGTCTCCTGCATTTTTTTTGCAATGCTTTGATCTTCCTCGCCTCTTTCAGTCGCGCCACTGGCCGGAGTGTCTCCGAAGCTTTGCTTCTCCCTGTGGCCAGGCAGCACACAGAAGAACACGAAGAGAAAAAGCGGCACTGCCTTCAGCGCGCGTTGCGAAGCTCCGAGCCGATCTCCACGTCCTTTGTAGCTTTGCACTCGCCAGCGGCTGTGCTGCGACCGCCTGGGTTCTGTCCTTCCCCAGAGCCTGGCAAGCTCCTGGAGGCTCGGACGGACAGCCACCGCCATCTTATGACACTTCCGAGCGAAAGAAGACTCTGCATACTGATTGGTTTGCAACTTCCGAGTTTTGACATCTGCAGATCTTTACTTTTGGCTTTCAGAACTGATGAGGAGGATTCTTTCGACTCGTCTTTGAGCCGAGGCAAGTTAGCCAGCGCCCATGTTGGCCCTACAGAGGCTGGGTTTTGTGAGCCACTCTGCTGCTTTCGGGTGTCAGCAGCTGCACTCTCAGCTTTTGCCCCGATAGTGCCTGTACGGTGAAACGCAGACTACACAAACTCCAAGCGGATTCTTGGAAATGCCTTCTCGCCAACGGATGAACTCAAAGCCTGTGCTCAATGCTTCGCTCACATCCCGGTTCTCCAGACAAGGCCTTGTGTGGCGTGCTAGTCTGTGCCATCTTCTCATCCTTCGTCGTGACTGGACAGAGGCCGAATCTGTTTCGACGTGTTGCAGGCTCACAACGCAGCTCCGTCTGTGGTGCAGAGAAAGAGCTCGGTCAACCTAGCCTGCTATGCCATCGGTGAAGCGAAGCAGCAGATCTTCTTGGAGACAATGTCAGAAGCTCACATGCGTCATGATTGGCAGATGATCCGAAACATCGCTGTGCAAGAGGTGTGCAGACACCTTCGCGCGGTCTGCTGGAGCCAGCATGTACGTATAGTCGACTGTCGTGCCTGTCCAGTGGGTGAATGGGGGTGAAGCGCCTCGCCAATTCCGCTCCGCGGCAATGTCGTAAGCGCCTTAAATGAATGTATCCTACCAAAAATGCAAGATAAGTGCCTTCGCCTCCTCTAGCCAAGGCTCCGATTCTGCTTCCATGCCCTTGCTCTTTTATGCCGAGTCACAAACCCAGCCCTGTGAAGTGAGTAGCTCTGCGACTCCGTCGTCCTCGGGCTCCTTAATGGAATGAAGACCTGCAGAGATGACGGACCACTCCTCGGCGGAGTAGTCGCCACGTCGTGCCTTCAGGATACATTGCTTTCTGCAGTCGCTGCGCAGGCTGACGCTGTACCCCTTTTTGTATCAACCCTGGTTAGATGAACTCTTTGTAAATTTCGCCTGTGACTGGCGGCACTAGGGCCTGCTCTAGTCACATACAAGTAAAAACTGAAATAACGGAAGATAGCAGATCAAAAGAAGCACCTGGTTGAAGTCAGCCACCATCAGTGTGCACTGGCTGTCACTGGGGGTGTTGGTGGCACAATGGCGCAGAAGCAGCTCAGCCTCTGCTTTCCGGACCCCCTTGTCGTTCACCGTGAAGTTCTGACATGTTTACGAGTTTAACACACGCACAAACAGACACACGCATAAAGCCCAAGAAGTTTTCGCAAGTCAACAAACTCTGCGTCCTGGTGATGGAAGTGTGTCGCACAAATAGTGACCTCGTGGATTAAGCTGCCGAGCCGACGGATTTCGACACCACATTCGGTCAACTTTCCAGCTTTCAGACACCAAGCGGCAATGAGGCTGTCGGCATCAGCCTCTAGGCGGAGGGAAACGAGCAGTGCAGCGCGATCTTCTGGCATCCGGAAATCATGCCTCGGGTTCTCTCGATCCGCAAAGGCAAGGACAAGGATGCCCCCTTTGCAGATAACATGGAGCTACGGTTCAGGGTTTAGGGCTTATGGGGCTGGACCCAAGATGCTCCGAATCCAGGCTGGCCTCCGATACCGCAACCACGGTCAATCTGGTGCAAAGAAGCGTAGAGCTGAAACAACTGCTTCTCAGCTGAGTCTGATACCTCAGAGAAACTCCGCGCTCGAAGCGGCCTTGCTTGTTTCGAGCTAGTAAGCTAGTAGCCGAGAGGCCCAAGTTCTTGTAGACCTGTTTCCAAAGCGCGCATTTCTTCAGCTGGGAAAGTGGATCGCCACGGTTCCCACCACCAACTTTGGGCAGGACCGCGTGGCATCTGACACGAAAGCTCGACAGAGAAGCATCGGTTAAGCCCTGGGCAGCCTGGCCTCTTGAAGCACCAGCACATCTGCGTTGCACGGCGCCAGCACTTTGATCACGTCTGCAGCTCGTTGGGGACTCTGCCCGTCGATGCCACACAGGCAGTTGAGATTCCATTGCACTATCCTGCGTTCAACTTATTGCTTCAGATCATGCTGATGTGCAAGGCCGCGGCAAGCCCTTCGAAAACATCCAAACGATGCTTTGCATTCTGCGGAGTTGCACTGGCAGCACGGCAGCTCGGCACTCGCTAAGATTTTCACCGCCACATGCAAAAGTGAAGTGCTGTGTTTTGTGAAACAAGCTTCAATGTCCTCCATGCTCTAACTGGTGTAGGCAATTCTATGCTGACCAGTGCTTTCGAGCGGGCGGGCTTCATGAAACACACCAGTGCTCTTCTTTGTGCTCGGGCGGGCTGTGATCAAGATGCGGCAGATGCTCACACTCCTTTTTTGCAATTGTGTTGATCACTGCCGCTTTCATTCGAGTTTGCCGATCATTCACGCTTGGCCCGTTCAGCTCGCGTCTTCTCGCTCGGGATTGTGTCGGGCCAATCATGTCGTCTCGCAGAAACTCACGCAGGGTTGTCTGTCTCGGCGTTGGCCTTCGTCAGAACATTGCTCATGTTTTGCATCCCGTCGATCCAGTACACATGTGCGCCAGACAGGCGCGCAGTCGCGCAAAAGCGCGCCTTCAATGGCCATCCGCTCGTCGCTGCTGGTGCTGGTGGCATCCTTCTGCCAGCAGTCGTAGACAGATCTGGCATCCGTTACATGGACCCTCTGCCTTTGCTGTATCACCTCCGGCCAATCTCGCAAATCACTTCCAAGTGCACTATGATCCAGTCGTCGGCCTTCACAGCCTCTGCCAAATGGCCAGGGTTGATCTGGAGACCCGTTTCGTCTGCCCGGAGTTCATGGCCAAGATGTTCGCCTTCACATCCTGGCCCTCCAGGACCCCAGGATGCCCTTGTTGGCTATCATGGTAAAGTAGCCGCCAACACTGCGGTAGCACATCTACTCGTTGTGCTCCGGCGTCCCGTGGGCGTGCCCGCTATCAGAAGGTGCACCACGACGCCGTCCTGCAAACTAACGTCAGGCCAGAGGCGCTGACGAAAACCAGCGCTCCGCCTGGCAGCTTAAATGAACTTCAATGAACTGCTTCCAGCGGATCAAGTCTGCGACCCGCGCATCCTGCTTAACACGCTGTGCCACTCCATCCAGGTCGCATCTCAGCTGCCTGGCAAGCTAGCTAAGCTCGCCACATGAGCCTTGATACTGCTCCATCTCGGCCTCATCCAGGGGCTCCTCGAGTTGCTGTCGCCGGTCTCATCACATCGATGTGCCCGATCTTGGAGCTGCTTGATCTCTCTCCCCCGAAAAAAACGTCCCGGTCGTGGTTCGTGGCAAACTCGAGGCCTTCGAGGGTTTCCGAAACGCGGCCTCCAGGTTGTCGGGATTGATGCCCCCCTCGAGGTCATCCACATATGCAACCAAGATCCCCTGCAAAATGTCCTTGATCCTGTAGTAGAAAAGCACCGGCTCCAAAAGTGATTCTTCCCAACCGTCCTCTTGCAGGTGCTCTTTCAAAGCCAGCCAAAACAGCCTGGCCGCCTCGGCAAAACGGTAAATATTCTTCTTGGCCTGTAGCTTCTGCTTACAGGAACGAGGCCATGATGTCCTCCTCGAGGCGGGTCGAGGTAGATCTCACGACCCCCTTCCCGCTGAAACAGGTGTTCTTAATGTCCTTTGCGAAGAGCAAGAAACCTTTGCTTGCACGAAGTGCCAAACAAATGCTTTCGGCGACGGCGCTTGCAGTCGGAGCGTATCGGCGAAACTGTCCCAAGGCCTTGTCCTTAAAGCCCTGGACCACCAACCTGCTCTTTGCTCCCTGCTGCGCTCCAGGTCGAGCACTTCACAGGCGTCTTTGCTGAGTCAGGCCTTCCACTCACGCTCGTCTGAACCGCCCGGGCCCGTGAACAGCTGCTGCTGCTCCTCCGTAACCTCGCTCAGCTTCTGCCCTTCTTCCAGTGTTCTCGGAAGCCTGATTCGCTAAGCCGCTAAGTTAAGGCAGAGTACTTGTCGTCAAATTCGTCAAAGCGGCCCCTGCGGAAACCAATCAGGAAAGTCTCTTCACTGACAAAAACTCTCAACGTGCCGTTGGTAGCGCTCGTGGGCCTTGTCGTCGGCTTGGCGACTTTGCAGTTCGAACGGAGTCAAAGTGCTCGATGGCGAAGCTCGCGGTCTCGCTGCTGGTCACCTTCTGCCTCTTTGCCTCCCTCCCATTGGCCTCGGCACCGGGGTCATCGGCCATGGGACTGAGCTGACGGGCCATGCCTGGTAAGGTTTGGATACCCCAGCAAACCGAATCACCTTGTCCTCGACGTCCACCGGCCGGCCGTGCTGTCCTCGAAGTCGTGGCCTCCCTTCTCGATCGGAAAGGAGGGAGCTTCCCAACAAACTCCCACTCAGCCGTGCTGCTGGCACTGGCCTCCAAGTGCGCCTTTGGGGTTGCATGCTTACGCTTGGCATCCAACTCGGTGTCGCCCGCGCGTCTTTTGTCCAGGATCATATCGCATAACCCGTTCTCCTCACCGTCGTTCAAGCTGACGTGCAAAGAAGAATCTCCGGCCAAGTAGGCTTTGCCCTTCGAGCTGCGCCCGCCCTTGCGGCTCGGATTTCCCTTGCCATTGTCTTTCTTCGGGCTGCCTCTGCCTCCTTTTTCCGCAAGCAGCATCACCAGCACAGTGGCCCAGACTGCCGCATGCTGAGCAACGGGTTCTAGCTTCTCGGTGGCAATTGCAACCTTCCTCTCGCCCCTGCCCTCCTGAAGCGTCTTGCCTTCTGCATGTCTCGTAGTTTCTTTCGGCTCTCCTGGTGGCGGCAAAGGCCTCGAAGATTTCATCATCCACCCATGTGCCGGCATCGGAAAGCTGCTCGGCCTCGTTGTCATCACCCGGCTCGCCCGCTGTGGCAAACACTTCGTCGGGTAGCCCTCGGTCTCTTTATTGTTTGGACCCTTCGGTTGAAGCCCTTCCCGGGACGATGACCCCGACCAGTCTCGGCTCGCGCTCGTGGTACGCGTAGTAACTAGTAGGAAGCACGAAGGGCCTTCTCGATAGCCTCCTCCAAGTAGCTCGACTGGCAGGCCAGAAGAATTTGCCGCGGATCATCCGCGGCAAATTCACATTCTTCAGCAAAAAGTTGGGGCTCATACTGACACTGTCCACGACGTTCTGCAAGTCCGACCAGTCCTGGCGGCACCGTCTAAGTTTAAGGTAGCGGTCAACGTTTTTCCTTGCCTCCTGTAGCAATTCTCAATGTAGGTGTCAAAAGCCTCAGTGGCCTACCGACACCTTCTCGATCTGTCGCGGCGAAAACCTTCTGATACCCATTGACCGCCTTCAGCTCTTTGGGCTTTGCCACCAAGTCCTGATGTGCCCTCCAAGCTTCTCCATGGGATCCAACGACCACCTTCTTCGCGAACCTGGTTTGCTTCTTGAGCAGCGAGTTCTTTTCGTTTTCCTCATCGTCTTCACTGCCCTCAAGGCTTTGCTAGGCAAGCAAAACGCATTTGCGGCACTCCCGCATAAGGCCTGGTCATGCCCCCGTGTAATGAGGGATTCCGTCCTTGTCCACGACATTCTCGAACGAGAACGGCACTGTCGAGTCATGTAACAAGGCCGAAGGTGCTAGTATGCCAGCACCGACAACAAGCTGCAGATGCAGAGAAAGAAAAAAACTTGTGGGAGAAAAGCCCCGCATCTCGAAACAAAGCGATAGAGTACAGGAGGCCGCGGGAGCGAGACCGGGTCAGGCCGGTCAAGCACCCCGCCTCACTACACCGGGTTCTCCCGTGCGCAGCTCACTGCGGTTGAGAACCGCGAGCAGAAAACGAAGCGGCGCTCGTCCACCACTCCGTTCTCCCTACGCCGGGCCCTCCCGAACGCAGCGCTCCCTTCCCGCACCAAGATGCTGCAGCGGGGCCGCGAATCGAGAATGACGCCGTGCTCATTCACGACTCCGCTCCCTCTACACTGGGTGCTCCCAAGTGCAGCGCGAGCTCACTTCACAAACTTTCGGAGGCCGCCAACCGCCTCCTCAAGGCCGCTCTGCCCCGATGGGAGCGCACCGCCACACAGAGCTCTTGGAGCAAGAGGGAGTGAAGCGGGCCGGGATCCGCACCAGCACGCGCTGCAGCAGCCCGCGCCACATGTTTGATGACGACCGCCGCGCCGGAGTCCCAGGTGCCATTCTCGTCAAGCTGCGGCCCGCAGCCTCACTCGCCATGGGGGAGCCGAAGCGTAAGGCTTCGCTACCCCTGCTGAGTTGCACTGGCCGAACGGGAGCTCGGCACACGCTAAGATTTTCACCGCCACATGCAAAAGTGAAGTGCTGTGTTTTGTGAAACAACTTTCAGTGTCCATGCTCTAGCTGGTGTAGGCAATTCTAAGCGGACCTGTGCTTTCGAGCGGGCAGGCTTCATGAAGCACACCAGTGATCTCTGTGCTCGGGCCGGCTGTGATCAAGATGCGGCAGATGCATCCAGGAGATTCTGACACATTCAATTGGCGAACCCAGTGTCCTCAAAGCCACAACGCCGGGGCCGCTCGGAGTCGCGCAAGAGCGCTCTGGCACCACGTGACCTTTTTCCACTTCGCTGCGGACCTGCTTGGTGTAGAGCTCTTTCATCTCTTTCGCCTGGGGCAAATCGACGCATCGTCTCACACTCGTCACATGGCCAGATGCTGCGAGCCTGACCGACGAGACTCGGGTCCGCCAGCGCCTTGTGAATGTATACGCTGCGTCCATGCGCCGGAGGCGAAGATGAAAGCGAGCTCGAGGCCTGCTCGATGAGGGCATTGTGACGTTCAGCTGTTGCGAGTTTAGACATCTCTCCTTTGCTTTGGGCATGAGGATGCAGCCCATTCACGCGCACCATGAACCACACATGATGTAAATCATTCATCCTTCGAATATAAACAAGATTTCCCACAGCATTGATCAGTACTATCAAGGAGTCGTAATGCATGGCGCACACTTGTCTGAAGTAAGCGATAGCCGGCTGTTGGCCTGTCATACTGTCTGAACAGTCCAGCGCATTACTGAACTGTTTTGGCAAACTGGATGTTGCCCACATGGGGTACAAGGACTGGCGATGTCAAGCTGACGAGCTGAAAGCAGCGTGTGCATGCAGCAATTGTTCAATCGACCTGCCCGATGAGATGACACACAAGCCGTGCATCTTTTCGTGCGGCAGTTTGCACAGCATGCAACAGCACACAGAAGGTTCACCATGCCAGCAAGCTGCTCTTACAACTAATGCTCATGGAGAGGTGATGACTAATGACTGGCTAATGACCATGACATATAGGTAAACACCAGCCTGAAATCTACTTTAGTAGTGGCTTCTTACCTGAGCATGCGCCCCTTCACGCTTTGCCTGCTGAACCTGCAGGTGGAAACGCTTGCAGCAACATTTCTTCGAATCACAGCAACATGCGATCCTGCCACATCCTTGTGGTGTCTCGGACCATCCTCCAAAGAACTACCATGAGCACGGTGGACTGCAACCGAATCGCAGCGGACGTGATGCCTGAGGTCATCGACGACCTCCTGCAGGACCATGAGAGTAGCGGCACTTATCGCCTGCACTTCAGGAAGCGGGCTTTGAGTGGCACCGTCTCGCACAATCAATCCCAGGAGCCGCGACTGCATTCGCCCCTCCGGAAATCACCACCTGAGATGTGGGGCACGATGCAATGCAGGGAAGTGTTTAGACAAGATTCTCATTTCCTCGCGACCCTTCACGCATGCGAAGAGTATGCAGCATGTTTCCTGGGTTACTTTGAGCGGGCGGCCGTCTCCCTCGTGAGCACGACACCGGCTAGAGCGGCTAGAGAACAGCAAAGGCAGTGAATTGTGGTTCTTTTTGCTTCTCAGCTGACCCTTCGCTTGGTGACAGATGCTGCTTTCCATGCTTGGACTGGAGCCAACTGAGATCTCCACACATTTCTCGAAAGCCTTCTTTGCCCTTGTTTGGACAGTCCCGAGCCAGATGGCCTGACCTCGTCCAGCCATGAGGCCGAACACAAAGAGCACAAGCACAGGGCTCAGGGTGCAGCTCGCCACAGCAGTAACATTCGCTGCCACCTCCGCCTCCACCCCGTCGGCGGCCGTTCTCACCTTTCCCAACGAAAGGAACAAAGCTCAGAGCTCCTCAGCACTCGCCACTTCGACCCAAGACGCCTCTATCTCGCGATCGAGATCTCGCCCTCTCTGCTCGCTCGTCCTTCTCCGGCTGTGGAGCAGGAGGCGGTGGTGCGTGTGCCGGAGGTGCTGGAGCTCCGAGATGTGGCGGGTGCGGATACGGATGGTAGCCTGCACACTTTGAACTGCGGAGACTCGGAAATCTTCAGCAACGGCATGCAAAGGCTTGCCTGGCGGTGCGGCACAGGCCGGGGCTGGGTAGCCCGGTGGATAGTAGCCGGCCGGAGGCGGTGCATAACTGGCATAGCCTGGCCACGAAAAAGCCTCAGTCCGGCTGTAAACTCTGCTTCTCCGGCCTGGTGGGGCGTGTGTAGGGCCAGGAGGGTATCCTTGAGGATAGCTCGGCGGATAGGCCGGTGGTGCATAGCCTGGCGGAGGGTAGCCTCGGCTCAGTGTTATAGGGGAAACGAGGAAAAAACGAGGAAACAGAGTCGAAGCCCAGCGCTGGGAGGTGCATGCGGCTGTGGCGGTGTGTGATATTGGACTGGCTCACCTGTCTACGTCGACATGTCCGTTGCAGTGATATGCAGTAATGCCTGCCCAAGCCTGTCCTGGCGGTGGATGGTGAGGTGCTCCGTGCGGTCCTGGAGGCTCAGGTTCAAGCAGCACGCAATGCACGCGCATGATGTCAACTGCTTCCGTCTCACGAGCCTGGCACGGCATAAGCCGGTGGCCCGCTTGGTTGTCCCGGATGCGGGGCGGGCTGTGGATGTGGATGTGGTGGGTGCTGTGGATAAGCTTGCGCCTGAGCAACTGGCAATGAATGAGCCATGCTGAGCCATGTCGATCTGACTATAGGTGCTGTATACTCGGATGCAGCTCCGGCCGTGGTATATCGCACAGCTCTTGATTTTGAGGTGCTTCTTATATGAAAGCCTTAGGACAATTACCTTCATGCAGGCCGCCACGACGGTAGGTGCAAGTTCCTGAACAATTTTGGCACCTTCCGTTAGAACATCGATAGTTTCACAGATGCATGTCCTTCTTACTTACTCCCTTGCCCGGAGGTCTCTTCTACGGATCTCTCAAACTTGTAGTCATGAGGAGGAACGCAAGGCATGATGCCATCAACGTCGACAAGTGCATGAAGAGCGCATCCGAGCAATCTCATGCATGCCTAATAGCAGTCGACGGAAGTCTTTTAGCCATCACCCGCCTGCGCAGGTTGCTGCTGTGGCTGTGGAGGTTGAGATCCAGCCTGCATCCATGCCACGGTCTACTGGCGGGGGAACACCAATGCAGACCAGGGTCTGGACAAGTGCTATCCACAAAATGACTTTGAAGCATGATTAAGACCGCATTCGAAGCTTCGAAGGCCATGAAGGCGAGACGGTGTCGCCTGTCGCTGCTGCCATCCTTCCAACTCGCGAGGCTGCGTCCAAAACGATTCTGTGGTCGCCTGAGCAGGGAAAAATCTTGCTGCCGCCGAGAAATGCCGTGACAACAAGGCTGAACACAATGTGATGATGGCATGCCTTTCTCCTGTTTTTGAGGTCGGTGTTGTTGCATATGCTAGCTCCGTGCCGCCACGAACTGTCGTACTCATGAGACAAACGCTGCCGTGACGGGCCACCACGGTGAAAAAGTTTCGTGTTACTCGAAGGTCCGATTCTTGCTAGAGATGTAGATTACTGTTCTAGCTCATGATTTCATACCTGCCTGTGGGCTAGGTTGCAAACTCTCTTCCCGATCTTTCTTGGCTGGTTGCATCGTTGCATGGCCAAGTTGGGAAATATGTTGAGGACGCTCAGGGTGGCTCTATGTGCATCATTATCATCTTATTTCTTTTCGGAATTCTGGCATCTTGTCCTGGCCCTCGCATGCGTCGGGTCGCAGCCTGCCCCTGAAGGCTCAACCGGAAGCAGCCTTTCACATGACATAGGGCCGTCGGACACTCTGGGTGGTGCAACCCGGCGGTAGCGCCATACTGTACAGGACAGCGAAACGCATGCCTAGAATGCGGTGACTGATATGATATGGTACACCAGCCGCAAACAAAGACCAAGGGTGCAACCAGCTCAAACGAAAGTTGTGGAGCACAAATGGCCAGCGGTGTGCTTGGGCAGTGCGAGTGATAGTTTGCAAAGATGCATGACCCTCTTAGATAAACATCAGTGCGGGGGCTTGCATCTTTATTCTTGCCCCTCATCGCCACAAAGCCCCAACCGCCAGCATCCCAACTGCAAATGTGGCAGCAAGAACAAGGAGACGAAGCAATACATCCCTGCTTGCACTCCATGGCCAACTGCGCTGCCTCGTTGTAGTAGTATATGCCTTGTGCACACTTGTTCACTTGCCAGGGCCTGGGCCATGCTTGACTCAGGGATGCTGACGCACAGTGAAGCACAGCCGCATTAGGGGAAACTGTGTGCTGCGCGGTTCCCGGTATATTATCTCGGGCATCGCATGAGATGACCTGGAGCTGAACGGCTGCAAGGAGGGTCCCTTCGGTACGGAGCTCCGAACGCTGCTGAGGACCTGTCACAACGTCCTATCTACTCATAGTCACATAGTCCCAGCCCAAGACTGCCAAACTGCACGTCTGAGCCAACAGGGCCAGCATTTCGTGCTGCAGCGAAGGCACTGGCACTCATGGCACCCACAAGATGGCAAAGGAATGACAGCTACACAAGAGACACTTTTTTTCTGCAGGGCTGAGCAGCGGCCACGACGAGTGCTGCTTGTAGAGCTGTTCTGCCATCGCTGTGAACAGCTACTTGCATGACACGCAGCAAATGTACAAGCTCTTGACGCAACTCACGCATATGCGCGGTGCAGGGCTTCACACCTCTATTTACTCAAGGATCTGTTATCTGATATGGTGGAAGCAATGAGAACAGCTAGTAGTTTCCATGGGCCTTCACGGGACCTTGATAACTTGCCAGAGATGATACCTTTGTCTATTCTGTACGTGGCTTCCTCCATTGCACAAGTGCAACCAGCAGGCTCCTCTAAAACCATAGGGTTCCGAGTGCCTGCTCGCAAGAGAAATCAAGAGCCTTCGGCAGGCCTCTAGCTGCCTTCTAGCTTGGCAGCGCATGGCAGCGCATGAGCAACGTGCGCCTTGTGCGCGTGTACGAGGCGAAAAGAGTGGGACTTAAAAATTCATCGAACTCTTTGAGCAGCTCCGCGAGATTGCGTGTTCCTGCCAACAAAGATCACCGTGATCCCAGAAGGGCCCTTGCTGGAGGCTACAAAGGAAGCTTCTGTTGGGCCAGGCTTAAAGCAGCTGAGCACCCTCTGAAAACGCAGAGAGAGTCAGGCGGCGACGGAGGGCAGCGGGCTGAGGAGGGAGCGTTCGCTTCTGCACCGAGGCGTGTGAAGGCGAACAGCCTGACGAAAAAAAACCTTTCGGATTCGCATGGGCCTTATGGGCCAACAGGGGGCCCATTGGGTTCGGTCCAGCTCCACTTGAAGCTCACACTCGTGCTGCACCTGTTTCTCGGAGCTTCGGCTGAATCTTCTGGCGGTCCGTAGCCGGTCTTCCTGCAACGAGATCGATGATCCATCTCTATGGCTCTACGACCGACACTCTACGAGCGAGACATGGCGCAGTTTTTTGCTAAGCCGGGGTCCTAAGCTCATCCTTGAAGCCTCAGCTGGCATGAATGGAGGACAGGTGTCCTCATGTTGCACTCCGAGTCGTTGGCGTTGCTGCACGTCCTCGCTAGAGTTCTTCAGGACCTGGCAAGACATCCTCGATGATTTTGACAAGTCATTTTCCCCAAACAGCGTGGTAACATTGTACGGTGCTTATTAGGTCGCTGTCCACGGCGGGCGGGGGGGGGCGCTTCGCTGGGGCGCGGGCGGGAAGACGAAAGCGCACAACTCTGGGAGACTGCAGCAGGATGATGGAATTAGTTCGGAAACCCATGGAAGGGCACTCCATGGGGCCACTGGCAGCCTCATAGTGTTGCCATGCTAGGACTTCAGTGACTTCGATTTGAAGGTACACTAGGCAGTGCGCTTCGGCAGGAGCACGAATTCCCCAAAAGATACGGGCGGCACTGTGGTAGGAACGAGATTTGTCAAGTTCGGGAGAGGCCAAGTATCGGACTTTCCAATTACTTCGTCCTCCGGAAAGAACGTGATTTCCGCGAAACTCCCGCCTCCCGAAATCGCAGTTTGGTGCGCATTGTGGACTCATGGTCTTGGGAGCCTGAAGCCTGCTCCTGGGATGTCTCTTGGGTAGTGATTGGACTGTGATCTTCCTTGACTGTTTGGGGTCTAACTCGCAGAACTTGAAACAGTTGGCTCCTACAAAGCCGTAGCTAGAACCAGCGCATCTTCACACCCCCAGATTGGTATACACAGGTTGGAGCTACATGCAGTTTCCATGTATCGTCAGAAGCATTTGCTGCAATTGCTGTTGATGATGCGTTGAGGTGTGCCGCACGAAGGCGGTAAATTACCTTGCACTGCAGCCTGAACTTCCTGAGCAGTGTCAAGTCTGCAACTCGCAGGCTCGCAGCCTGCGACAATGATTTTAGAGCAGCAGTGGCGCGCTCCTGGCCACATGGCATGCGAGAAGTCTCGAAGATACAACTGCCTGTTGCGTTTTGCCTTGGGGAACTTGCGGCCGCCGACAGCCTGAAGCTGAAGCGCCAACACCCAGCAGCCACTTTTGCAGGGGAGGACATGAGCAAGAGAGCAGAGAATAAGCCCGCCTCCTTGGGAGGACGTTCGGGGATTGGCGCCGAGTTCGTGCGCGGACGCGCCCTCGACAAGAAGATCTCAAGGGCTTGTTGATCACGCGCCTTTGGCTTTATCGGACCCTCTGCCTGTGATTTCGTCTCGCCTTGGTGGCCTTCATGGCCATAGAATGCGGGCCGTAGAATGTGCGATTCCTGAGAGCTCTGGAAGCTGTCGGTCTGTGAAACTGCGCAAACGAATCCGAGAAACTCATAGAGCTGATCGTCTGGATCATTCCTGAGGCTTGGGGACTTGACAAATCAAAAGAAGCTTGCATTAATTGACCAAAGCCTGCAAATGGACACGCACCCACACATGGCCTCGTGCAGCAAAGTGTCTGAATGTTAAGCTGATTCAACAGGGCACCCAGTCGAAGTTCTTCTCTTCGCTGCTCAAGAAAACGAGAGTCTTCTTGTAGCCATTTGCGTTCCTAGCAAGCTGTGCAACATGGTGACATGAATCGTCAAGAGAGGATACAAGCCAGAGATCCAAACAAATACCTTGGCTACGAGAGATGCTATGCCGTCGCTTGCAATGCTTCCTAAGGCGACACTACGAGCATCCTCTCTTGGGCTCCCAGACTAAAAAAAAGATGCTTTCGCACTCTTCCTCGTGCACTGCCGTTCGGGCCCAACTGCCCCTCAAGACGTTGAGTTTTCAAATTGGGCGTCTGAGTGTTCCCAGTTTGGTCTGTCTCCGGTTAGCCTTCACCGCAGACTTAGTCAGCAGTTGCATGGCACCTTCGGCATGAAACAAAGGACGAGTCCCAGTCCTGAGGACAGCCCCGGCTCATGCGCTTGCTTTCCAACGGTTGCCAGGACGTGGCCATTTTGAAGCCGAGGCCTCCAAACATCACCTCCTTTGTCATCCACTCCCCTCACGACGCAGGTAGGCTCTGCTGTGTTGCAGAAGAGAGTGCTGATGACTGCCGCTGCCCAAGCCAGAAAATTCTAGATCAGTGAAAAAGCGTGGGCGACAAGACCAAGCAACTAAAAATCTTGCGGGAGTGGGGCTTCGTGTCACACAGCCCGGCTTGTCCCGAAGTTGAAGACGTCGCCGTCAAGGACCGAATCTTCAATTATAAAGCTTTGGCCGTGCGCATTTTCACGTCATCGCACACAATCACTTCAATTGTCTGAACCATGCCGTTGAGTATTGCATACCCTCCCTTCCTGTGCTGGCTTCGATTGTGAAGCTCCCGTTGCTTTTGCAGGTCATACTCTTCCTACACCACATGGAGAAGGAGCGGTACAGAACAGACGAAGCTTCAAGCGCAAGCAGAGTGTATCCGGAAGATCCGATCTCATGACGGCCAGGTTTGCCGGCCGATCGGTAGAAATCTTAAAATGCGCTCCCCAACAATCGCTGACAGTCTCATGCATCACTTCAGAAAAAATGTCCGTGACCGGACCGGGGCCTGATTCAGCCTCTTTTCGCGGACATCGTACTCGATGAACGGGTTCTTGGCGCGAGCGCCGCCCTTGCAAAGGCAAAGATTTGCAGACCCTAAAACCGTGGGCGGCTTCTTGTCGGCGTTTCGAGTTCAGAGCCATCTGTGGGCTGTGGGTTAAGCTTTCGGGAGTTTTGCTTCGGTTTAGGGTTTAGGGGTTTAGGGTCTCTGTCCTGTCTGGTGGAACCGAGATGGCAGCTGAAAGTCTCTGGAGATTCCCGGAGCAAGGAAGAAAGACAACTCGTCATGTTGAATGAGGTTAGGTCTCTGAAACTAACAATAATTGGGATGGGGCGCTTTGTTCGCCTCAAACGGTGTGGGTTGGGACGGGGGTCACGTGCGGGCTTCAAAACGAGCCAATCGGCGAATCGAATAAACCCTACGGGCGCTACGTGGGTAGTTCTAAAATAGGGTGCTGTTTATAAGGCTGCCGTACTGGTTCAGGGACCTGAAAAGGAAACATAAATTTAGAGAGCTAGCTACGTCTAACTGCAGATGCCAAGCGCATGAAGATGGAAAGCGCCTTGCGAATCGCCGGCTCTTGCCAATCGTAGACCCTGAACCCTAGCCTACAATCCGAAACTCTCTCTAAGAATCCCTAACCCTAAGCCGTAAACCCTCAACCCCAAGACCAACCCTCAACACCCTAAACCCGGAACATCCCTGAACCCGAGACCACCAATCGAAGCCAAATACAAGCATAAAGCCATCCTCAACACCCGCAACCCACCCTGAACCCTCAACATCCGCCAAAACACCAAAATAACCCTGAATCCCAAAACCCCCCCTCGTTTCCCCCGACATCCACTTCAAACATTGCTGAACCCTGAACCCGAAAACAGTATCCCTAAACGTCCCGAAACTTAAGCACTGAACGCCAAAACCCGCCACCCGAAATCCACCGCAAACAGGCCTGACCCTAAACGCTCAGCCCGATAGTATATGAAGAAATTCAAAAAATGCAAATACCTTATAATTCGGGGTTTCGTCGGCACGGCATAGACAAGCTCTTCTGTTGGGATGCTAATCTATTAGAACAGCATCCAAGTGCAGTACCTTCTGCGCGGTGCTGGGCAGAACGCAAATCGGGCATGGATGCTGTTGGCGCACTAAACCCTAAACCCTACACCCTACACCCTAAACCCTAAACCCTAAACCGTACGGACGCTATCACGGTTCCGGCATGGATGCTCAACTCGCCGGCTGCACCAGAGAGGCCCTAAAAACCCGGAAAGCCAACCCTAAACATCCCTAAACCCGCCTAAACCCCAAAGCCAACCCTAAACATCCCTAAACCCAACACCCCAAAACCCACCACTCGAAATCCAGCGCAAACCTTCCGGAAATCAAACGCCAAAGCCCATCTTTAATGAGCCTAAACCCGTAGCACCACAACCACCCTAAACCTTGAACCCCCACTTCACTACCATCCCTAAGCATCCCCGAACCCTAAACCCTAAACATCCTTAAACCCGAAACCCAAACCCATAGACCCGATCTCCACCGCAACGGTGAACCCAAACCCAACACTCATCAAAACATCCTTAACCCCGAAAGCAAACAAAAACCCACCACCGAAATCCACCTCGAACAGTCCTGAACCTATACCCCAAAACCCATAATAAAATTCCCTAAGCTCGCAACACCACAACCCCCAAACCTACAAACATCCATAAACTCTACACATACCTAAACGCCAAAAGCCACCACCAAAAACCACAAAACCCATTCTAAACATCCCCAAACCCGCAACACCACAACCGCAAAACCAACACTGAGCACACCCAAAGCCTAAACGAATCCCAGACATCTCAAAGCCCCAACACCGTCCAACCATCCTCTGCAAACATTCCTGCCCCAAAACCAATCTCCAACATCCCCATACCGGCAAGACCACAACCCACCCTGAACCCTAAACACCCCTGTTTAAGCCCTAAGCTAAACCCTAAAACCTGAAACCAAGCCTAAACATCCCTAAACCCTAAGCGCGAAATTCACCGGAACCCTAAACACCCCAACACCCATCCTAAACGCTCCTAAGCCCGCAACGCCCGCAACCCTAAACATCCCTAAACCCCAAAATCCACTCCAAATATACCTAAGCCCTAAACTTCAGAACCAACCCTAAACATGCATAAACCCCACAACCACACACCGAAATCCGCCGCAAACATTCCCGCGCTTTGAAACCCACCCGAACTGAACCCGAAAACTCCTTTGCCCTTCCCTAAACACCAAAAGCCTCCCAAAATCCTAAGAACCAAAACCCTCCACCCGAAATTCACCTGCAAACGTACCGGAACCTTAAACAATACCCATTCTAAACATCCCTAAGCCCGCAACCCTCCGAAACATCCCCACAACAGCACAACCCACCCTGAATCCTAAACATCCCGAAACATCCAAACAAACCCTAAACATGGCAAACCCCTAAACCCCAAATCCAACACCAAACATCCCTAAACCCTAAACACCAACCTTCATGCCAGAACCCTAAACCTCCAAAAGCCATCCTCAACATCCCCTAAGCCCGCAACACCACAACCCGCCCTGAATCCTAGACATCCGTAAACCCCAAAGACACCCTAAACATCTCTAGACCCTAGACCCCCAAACTCCTTCACCCTAAACCCCAAAACCCGCCACCCCAAATTCATCGCAAACATTTTGGAACGCAAACTCCCCAAATCCATCCGAAACATTACTGAAGCCGCAAACCTAAACATGCCTAAACCACAACACCCACCCCAAACGTCTCCGTAAACCCCGAAACCCACCCTAAGCATCCCGAAGCCCTAAACACCGGAACCATGCCCTCAAACATCCATACACCCAACACCCCAAAGCCCCACCCCATCCGAAATCCGGCCGCAAACTATCCTAAGCCACAAACCTCCAAATCCTTAACCCTAAAACGCAAAACCCATTCTCAACATCTCTTTAGGCCTGCAACGCCACAACCCAGCCTGAATCCCAAACATCCCTGAACCCCCACCTTTCGCATCCCTGAACCGCAAACCCCAAAGCCAACCCTAAGCATCCCCAAGCCCAAACGCCCAAAATCAACCCCACACATCCCTGCCCGTAAACCCCAAAACTATCCGCCCGAAATCCACCGCAAACGTTTCTGAACCCTATACCCCCAAACACACCCCGACAAAATGCCCAAACCCGAAACACCCGAAACAGAGCCACCCCCGAACTCTAGACCCCCAAAACCGCAAGCTGCAACTCTCCGGAGAGCACGGGCCTTCCTTCGAGCAGCACTTCGTGGACGCCGCTCAATCCGCTCGAAGCTCCAGGAAGCATCGTCCCTGAGAGGTGTTGGAGTAGGGTTTAGGGCCTCGGGTTTAGGGGATTAGCCTTTTTTCTGAAAGCTGCTGCTCTCCATCCGCCGTTGGGGCTAGGATTCGGGAAGCAAGGTTTAGGATGCAGGCTTTCTTCTTTTTGATGGTTTAGCCTGCTGCCAGGGTTTAAGGTTTAGGGTTTGCGTGCAGTTCTTGGGTTTCGGGCTTAATTTTTCATTTTTTGGAACACCTTTTCTCCTGCTGCTAGGGTTTGGGGTCCAGGTGTTGGTTTAGGGTTTAGGGGTGTAAACCTTTAGAGATTTGGGTTTTGGGACACGGTTGCCAATTACCAAGAGCACTCAAGGCAAGACGCCCGAGCCCCAAAGGAGATATACAAGGATATCCCCCTTATTGGGCTTTGAGGTGGATCGGATGACCCTCAACTCCAAACCGTAAACAGCCTGCCTGCTGACAGAGACTTCTCGATGAAACGTCGGTGTTGGTGTTGAAATTGGAGACATCAACGGCCTGCGGTTAGAGATCTTCGGTGTTTCTCCCCTAGACGTAGCAGCAAGCATCTGCAGGACTTGAACTAAATCTATTCATTTTTTGTCTGTGAATACTGATGTGGGCGTTTCACTCCATTCAAGCATGCATTTCCTCCTTCCAACGACGGCAAGGCCTGTCGTTGCCACTGGCTTCGCCATCTGGCGTTTGGGGTGGGCCCTCCTCCTGCCAAGTTGCAGCTTGAAGCGGATGCATCAGGTGTGCTTGTAGTATGGTGTACTGCAATATACTAAATGCATAATAGTATGCTATAACATACTGTATGATACTGTAACATAGTATCATATACTACAATATACAACAGTATGCTATAGTAAAGTAGAACATACTGTAGTACACTAACCATATACTAACCATCGAGCTGCAGAGTCCAGCTCCTTTGGCATATCCAAGAGCACCGTTTTCCCTGATGGTTTCTTGGACCGGCCGGCCGTGCGCTGACCAGGTAGCATGGCATAAGGAGTTAAGGGACAGCTACAGCTCTACAAGAAAAAGCACCGAAGTAGAACCATCGTCATGTGTGACGGTCAGGAGTTGGTGACGAACGAGCTGCACTTGCAAGCCTCTCTTCACGTCATCCTTCTCTACCCTCAAGCTGGAGTCCGGGCACAGGTGTTGCCAAACAGAGCCTGATCATGAAAACACATCATGTATCTGCAGCTTCAGTAACAACTGTAGTGTGGAAGTCTCTAGACCTTTTCTGCATCTCTTCGAGACTATTGGAGTTGTTGGAGTTGGACGCTGGACACCTTGCAATGAGCAAACCCTAAACTTCACGCTGGAGACCCATAAACCCCGAACAGAATCGGCGGGTACTGCTCGGCTCTAAATTCCAAGCGGTGAGACGTCAGCGGATGGAGTGAAGCGAGCCCACAATGATGGGGTGCATCTTCGGCGCCTAGCAGCTCAACACAAACTGGCATGCCATGCATTCGTAAGGACCTTAGGAAGCTCCTAACCCCCAAAACCTAACCCTGACCTTAAACCCCGAAGCCCCAAACAACTAAACCCTAAACCCAAACCCAAAGTCCTAAACCCTAAATTGCTGTTCTGCTGCCTGCCACGAGGGATGAAAGCTTTGCGTCTGCGCTTCCAGGCGAAGCTTGCCCTGCTCGAGCGCCTCTAAACAAAGGTCTCTCAGAAACCCCATTATCGTGGGCTTTCAGATTTAGGTTTTAGTGTTTACGGCTTAGGGGTGAAGATCATTCCAACTACCACTTTTTTTTGCTAGTATTCTGATTACAGTGGTGCTTGTAGTAGTCGTCGAAGTTGCCGGGAGTGGGTCTTGGGAGGTAGTCCCTGGGTACGTAAGTTGGCAGGCATGCAGGCAGACAGGTGGGTAGTCAGCGTGGGAGCAACCCTGGTAGTAAACTAATTAATTGCTGCGGCCATGAAACACAAGAGATATTGCCCTTCTTCTTCTTCTTCTATATATGAAGTGCTGTTCTTTGTTTGGTACTGCTGCCACCAGCAGTTCCAGCCGCAAATGCTTAAATCAAGGATGTGCGGAAGCCTTTGAGGCATCGCTCAGCGAATCGATGTCAAGGTCCTGCATGTGCAGCCAGCTCGCTCATGCCAGTAGTTGTGAAAGAACGTACGGAACTATGTGGACGAGCCGCTGGCACACTTTGCAAAGCACAACTCTGTGCACCTGAAGACTGCGCCGCAGCTGGTTGCAGAGGAAGGGCAGGAAGGTCAGTGCCGAGCCGCGGTCCTAGGAATGTACACCGAGCTGAACTCCCTTCAGCTTGGCGGTGGCTGTGACAAACATTAGGTTCAAAGCTGCCAAGGAACTACTAGAGTCGTCGGCACGCCGTTTTGCACAGGGCCATTTCCTCGCGCAGCTTTCAGCACATCGTTCCTCCACTCCCCCGGCTCTGTTGCACTTACCAACCCGTCCTTTCTGGGCCTCGACTCGCACACGCGCGCCTTCGGGGCAGAGAATACTGGCCCGCAGGCATGTGTGCCCTCGACTGCACCAGCACCAGCCTTCACGAAAGATATGTAAGCCGCATGCCTCCTCACAATGGCTGAGGTGAGGGAAAAGTGCATGAGCCGTCCCGTGACGCTCCGAGCCTCGCATCGCTCGAGCATCGCATCGAGGCACACCGCGCTCGCGCCCAGCAGCAGGGCCTGGAGTTGTCCAAGCCGCTTTTTGTGTGCTTTGGCTCTGGGTCCCTCCGTTGCTGGGCCTTGAGAATCTGCCCAAAGTCCTTCACCTCTTCTGCAAAGCTTTTGGGGCGGCTTTCTCAAAGGCTCCAAGGAAACCTGCATTATCCTGCATTCCTTGCGCACCTCGACATCAGCTATGACCGGAATCCCGAAGGTGGAGCGAAGGGCCCTGGAAAGCTCGAAGATTGTCGTGGCTTCCGCACCCTTGGCGTCTCCAACCTGCTATGGCTGCCGGCCGTCACCCCACATTAGGTGCGACGTCATGCGTGTAAGGTCAATGCCCGCACGGCATCGGCACCATGCTCACAGAGCACCGTCGCCTGGCTTCCCAACGAAAACTTACAAGGTCCTCCATAGTGCACTTGGAGTTCAGGCCTTAGTAGCTTGGTACAAGGTGGGAATGAGGGGGCATATTGACTGCTTGGCTCCAACTCCTTTCTAACTGAACTCTATTGTAGAGACTGACTGCCCCCAAAACCATCACACTGGCCTAGCCTGGCTGAGGCAGTTCACCGGGCCGACGATGACGTCGATACCGGCAAACATGTCCTGAAACCCCGATGCTGCAGATACTGACCAGTGAGTAGTAGCAGTGCGGTTACAAACACTTGCAGAGTGAATGGAGTTGGGGTGTAGACAGTTTCGCAAGGCGATGTGATCTATCGTGACCGAAGCTGACGCATGGCTGCGCTGTAGTCGCCCGCCTTCATCTGCTTCAGAAATGCAACCTGGGTGCCAAAAAAACTTGTTCGGAATGCTGGGAGCTTCTGCGTCGCATGCGACTTAGACCGGCACGACGTATTGGTCAACGCCATCGCCCACGTCCAGGCTCAAGACATCAGCGCCAGCCTCCACCATGGCCTCCGTCCATCGATACTTCAGCCGAGAAATCTCCAGAGAGCCGCAGCCGGCGTAGCCTTGACCCGGTCCCAGCCATCTGGTTCATGTGCAGACACCGCAGCTGCAACCATGAGTTGCCTCGCATCGGTATCACTGTCCCTGGGCTTTGCTGTTATCCACTTGAGGCCTGTTTGCATCCCGTGATGCCATAGGATGCTGCTGAGCAATTTTCATGTCGCCGCGACCTAGGCGCTCCGCATTGTAGTCGCAGTGATCAACGTCGGAGAATGATACGGCAAATGCGAAGTTGGACCCAAGCAAAGCAATGCCACTAGCTCCATATCCTTGTTCAGCACGGGCAGCTTAGACACCTCCAAACAGCTAAGAACCAGTCCAGACACACGGAAAATACACACTGCAGCACATCTTGCACATCCCGGCGAGTTTGGGCCTTTGCTTGCTGCATGTGCACGCAAGCGTCCTTGAGCGTGACTGGCTCTTGTGCGAAGACCTGAGGGTTTGGTGGCAGCTCCGTAATTGTTATCAGCCCCCTAAACCGCTGCAGACAAGGTCGGGGGAGGGTTGGCGAAAGGCAAGCTGCTCACTTTCGCAAAGACCAGTATTAATACCCAAGAAGTGCACGCGTCCAGCCCACACAACAGTCAACAACACTGCTAAACCGTCGAGCCCCAGATCCAGCCCTCAGCATTGCTGCATGTGCTATAAGATGCCAACCACTGCTCTGTCAACTCCCAATCACGGCCGCATTTGCAAGACATCTCACTAAACACACACGGTAAAACATGTGGCTCCTGAACTGCAACACTTCTCTGCCCCGGTGCTTTACTTCTAGCACAAGACTCTTCGCTTTGTTGAATATTACTTCGCATGCTACTGCGAGGTGTGTACTAGTAACGAAAGCCTCACTTCTAACTGTTGGAGACGCCATGCATCTTGGGTGCAAAACATACATCCAACGGCATCGACTCGCACAGCATCGAAGATTTGGGATCTGCAAACATCGCTTTCTTGCTTGCCCTGTATCAAGCTCGTTATCACGGACAAGTCTTTAAAATCCCGAGGGGGGGTGGGGTATCAGACTTGGCTCGTGAATTAAGTTCGCTGCCACATCGCGGTTCATCACAGAAGCGACCAGCAGATTCCTGCGACGACACATCAAGAACCCCCCCCCCCCTGATCACGCAAAGCTGAGAAACTTTGATTTAGGAATAACTGCTGGTCCCGTGCTGCCCTTCCAGGTCTCTCTTGGTAACCAGGCCAACCAAGCGTCCACCCATTCTGCCTTCGCAGGGATCGCTCTTGAGGACATGAGAATGCTTGAGAACTCCGGGGGCGATACCGTTCTCTGTGACGGGCAAACTGCTGCAGCCAAGCTCCTCCTCGACGCCAAAGAAGAATCGAGTGCAAGCATGCGTGATGCGTGGTTCCGAAGCGTGTGCGAGACATGTTGCACACGTGTGAACGGTTTGTCCCTTTGGGCCTTTCCCCCGTCCAGTCGCCTCCCCTCCCGTAACCGCCCCTATTTTTGTCGACTGTGCCGAGCGAGCCAGACGGAGACCTAGACAAAATATACTCACCCTCACTCGACTGGATATCACAATACCAGCTTGGGCGATCTGCGGGATGCCAGCAGTTGTGCTTGTGGGAAACTCTGACCATCGGACCATCGCAATTGCTCCAAACCCTCACATCAGCAAAGCCCGCAAGCGAGCCTGGATGCTTCGCGCCTTCTGGAGGGTGGTCTTCGGTGCCACGCAGCTGGGATTTAAGATGAAGCCGGAATGATACTGCTTCACCCTTAGTCAGCAAACTTCGCTATCTGCACCCGCAGCCCGATTCATCAGCTCACTGGGATGGCGGCCGCCGAACTTTGAGGGCTTGAGTAGCTATCGGCATGTGCCTGACAGCAACTTCAGTACCAGTAGGTCACTGCGTCAGGGTGTTCGAGATATTTCAGTCTCTGCGCTAAATGATAAGCTCACAGGGAACAGCGCTCGCTGCAGACTAGCATGCTACTTTCGACCCAATCCTTGGTTTGTTTCACTGGTATTGCCACAGCTTTCCTCGTCTTGAATCAGTCGAAGATCCTGGTGATGTTAATCATGGAACTGTGCATGATGCAGCGTTGCAAAGTTGCAGCTTGAACACTGATGATGGTCACCAGGCTGCATAACTTGCGAGACGCATCCGTTGAATTGAACTCGCAAGCTCCGAACACTAATCATCACCAACCAAACCCTACGCCCTAAGACCATACCACTCAGTGCGATCGGCTGAAATGCATCCGAGTTCACAATAACTTTCTCCGCCGGCTATGTGTTTCACGGAAGTGCTTGGAGCCCCCAGTTGCTTCGACTTGGCGCATGTTGCAACTGAATCAACTGGAAATGCTGCAAATAACGGCATCGACGGCATTGAATATGACTCAAGACTTTGAGTTGCTCCAAGACGATGCAAAAAGAAGTGCCTCACCAAGGCAACAACCATTCGAGCTAAACCCTAAACTCTAAACCCTAAACCCCTAAACCCCCCCTAAACCCCAAACCCCTCTAAACCCTAAACCCCCAA